GGGTTGTTGTTACCAGCAAAAAGCTGACTACTCCTGCTACTGATTTATAGCCCTGAATTCCCCACGAGGAGGTGCTCGGGCATCTCCCAATTAGCTCAGCATTTTTAGCAGCTATCCTAGCAGAACGCCATCTGTGCTCTGTCTCTTTTCATCACTCTAGAAATGTGAGCACTTTCAAACCCTCATCGTCTGATTCTTTTTCTCCCTCCAATTCCTGAACACTTCCTTGCTCCCCTTCCTCCTCCGAAGATGAGGAATCCCTAACAGAGGAGGAGGAGAGGAGAATGGAAGCGAGCAGAATGGGAAGTATAAAGAGGTAGAAAAGCCAAGGAATGCGAAGAAACTGAGTGGAATTGGGGAAAACATTCAATTGTATCAGTGTGAACAAAACCAAACACACTAAAGGAAAACCCCAAATTATAATATACAATGAAACCAGAATAAAATCAGTAGACTGTTGGAATCAACCCCTCCCCTTGGGGGTCACAATTCACCAGCAAGTTCCAGGAAAGATCAATAGGGGGCTGTGCGATCAAACTAATAGAACTGACATTTTGTAGGACCTATGGCTGCTTGACAGGTAAGCAACCAAATTGCTTACCCCACCTGATTCTTTTTTAGAGAAGGACTCAACTTTTCTTTCCATTCTTCTTCAATTCCTATCTTTTCTGGAGGCATTTTTCTAGAACCTCAGTTATCTCCTGCTACATTAAGAAGATTTGCTGGGCTAATAACTGAGCCATCATGCATTTCCTCTAGTCTTAATCTTCCTTCTCTTCCTAATCAGCCAGAAGAGATTTCTACGATACGAAATTTGGATGTTCTTAAAATAATTAACTCACCGTATATACTTGGGTATAAGCCTAGTTTTTCAGCCTTTTTTTTTAGGCTGAAAAAGCACATTTGGCTTAGACTCAGGTGAGGGTCCTGGTGGGAAGGTGTGGGGCTAAAATAAAGGCTTCTTTTAGCCCCACACCTTTCTGCAGGACCCTCACTTGTCTGCACAGCAACCCAGCTCTCCTTCCTCTCCTCTCTCGCTCAGTATGCACCTTCCTCTCCTCCTTTCTTGGCTCCAGTCTTCCCCACTTTTCCTTATTCGTATACACACAGCATTTCCCCAAAAATGTATAGTTAAAATAAATTATCATGATTATTGGAAGGATACATAAGCACATTTACATTCAGGAAGGTTAGAATAATGATTTAATCAGACTTTGACAGTCTTAAATTAGTTTTATGTAAATATTAAAAAATATTTAACCTATATTTAGCCTCAATTAATGTCATTTTATTGGTATCTACCATATATTCTGGCATAGAAGACTACTTTTTAACGCAATAAAATCTTCTCAAAAGTCAGAGGTCCTCTTATATGCGGGAGTCATCTTATACGCGGGAGTACTCTTATACACGGGAGTCGTCTTATGCTCTGGAGTAGCCTTATGCATGGGAGTTGTCTTATATGCGGGAGTACTCTTATACATAAGTCGTCTTATAGAGCGGGTGCTGAAACTTCCAATCCGGATTGGAGAATCCGTGGTTGCTGCATATTGTGGGGGGAGCTCAAATATGGCAGTGGCCACGTCCCTGCCATATGCAGCAATTGTATAAAAGCATTAAGGGCGACGCTGTACAAGTACGGTAGAAGAAAATCCATCAGGATTCGTGGACTTAATGCGGACCCGATGGTGAGGTGAAGGGCCGCCTCACTGGGAAGGTGTAAGTGAAGGGCAGAGCAAGCTGCAGGCATCCGGGGCGCCTGGGGTATGGAAAAAAGAGATAGAATGACTCTGGGCCCAGAAAAATACACCTCTTTTACTTGTCTGGCCCACCCTTGTATCCTATTACTGTACCTCCTCCTCTGCCTCTCAGATCTCTCTCCTGAAGACTGCAGTGAAGTGGTGCAGGTGCGCAGGTGCGAGATCTGAGAGGCAGAGAAGGAGGTGCAGTAATAGGAAAATTACCATATTGAAATCGAATCTGATGCTTTAAAAATTTTTATTTGGTGTGTGTTGGAAGAGGGGTAGTCTTATACGGCTGGAAAAGTTGGGGGTCGTCTTATACGTCCAGTCATCTTATATGCCGGAATATACGGGTATTTTTATTTTGAAATTTATCAGTAGCTGCTGCATTTCCCACCCTTGGCTTATAATTGAGTCAATAAGTTTTCCCAATTTTCTGTAGTTAAAAAAAAATCCTCTAAAAGCATGCATGTATGAATGTGCACATGCCCACTTCCTTTGATCTCAAGTGCATATGATAAAATATCGCTAAATAAGTAGAAAGTGGATGATAGCTTTTTTTAAAGGATGACAACTGTCCAGTTTTGACATTGCACAATTTGTGGCAGCCTGGAGAATTGTACAAAATGTGGGATATAAATGTTCCCATGTACACCTGAGAAAAAGCCATTATTGTGTTCCCTGTTCATGGTGTTTTAAAGACATGATGATAGTGTACCGTATAATTTAACAATTCTAGAAAGACACTTTACAAGTTGATAAATATGTAATAAGTGAATATGAACTCAATATTGGGATGGGTTAGCTGACAGATGAAATACGCCTGGATCATATGAACCCTCTTTGTTTAATCTTTTGAAAGCTGTCAAAAATTACTAGTGCAATAAGTACATAATGCTCCCACACTGACATAAATTTGGAACTTGCAGAATAAACTGGAGATTTACGAAGATGGAGGAACTACATTTTAAAAGTTGATACCAAAAATGAATATGAAACAGTTTGCGAATAGGTGCATATAATGCGAGGGCAACTGGAATAATTTATACATGATACATTCAGTTTTGAATAATGTATTAGCTTGAATACATTCTGTATGGGAAAAAATTGAAAGGGGCACACATTTATGATACTTGTTTTCTGTATTCAATGCAGCATTTTCAGCTTCAGCTCTTACAGCATTCTTGTAAGTAATACACAATTTTGAGAAGGCCATTGAGTTGCATGACAAAACAGACCTTGTACTGATTTCTTTGGAACACATACTCACTTGTAATCTCTTCATGCACTGACATGCCGTTGATTTTAGCAATAATATAAACATCCTCTAATATGGGGAACTTCAATTTAATAATTATGTTTCCAAAATATTAGAATGTGGCATATAATTTTAAAGCATCAGTGAATTGTTCAGTAGGTTTATGATTAAACACCGTAACTGTTGGGACATGTTCTATGTGTTCGTTTGATAAATTTGTTTTCATCCTTGCTAACTCAGTAAAATATATACCGTATATTCCGGGGTATTACACGACTGGGGCTATAAGATGACCCCCCACCTTTAGCACACAAAATATAGAGTTGGGGATATACTCACCGTTTAAGATGACTCCGCATTTCCAGTCCTCTAGGCCTGCCGTGCGGTTGCCCCTGGGCCTCTGGGCTGCTTCCTGTGCCACCTCCAGAAGGACCTCCCCTGCTGCTCAGGCCGCTCTCCTTCTTCCTGCTGCCATGGCGTCTCTGGCTCCCAGCCCCGTCAAGCCTCGCAAGAAGTGCCTCTTCTCCTGCGAGACAGTGTTGTCTCGCAGGTGAAGAGGCACTTCTCTTGAGGCCTGGCCAGGAAGAAAGAGAGCGACCTGAGCAGAAGGGCTTTCCGCGCTGGTCAGGCCACTCTCCTTCTTCCTGGCCAGGACTCGTGAGAACCTCCTCTTCTCCCATGAGACAATGTTGTCTCGCTGGAGAAGAGGCGCTTCTCATGAGTCCTTGCTAGGAAGAAGGAGAGCGGCCTGAGCAGAAGGGCTTTCCGCGCTGGTCAGGCCACTCTCCTTCTTCCTGGCCAGGACTCACGAGAATCTCTTCTTCTCCCGCGAGACAATGTTGTCTCACTGGAGAAGAGGTGCTTCTCATGAGTCCTGGCCAGAAAAAAGGAGAGCGGCCTGAGCAGAAGGGATTTCCGTGCTTGTCAGGCCACTCTCCTTCCTGGCCAGGACTCCCGAGAACATCCTCTTCTCCCATGAGACAATGTTGTCTCACGGGAGAAGAGGCACTTCTCACAAGTCCTGGCCAGGAAGAAGGAGAGCGGCCTGAGCAGAAGGGCTTTCCGCGCTGGTCAAGCCACTCTCCTTCTTCCTGGCCAGAACTCGTGAGAACCTCATCTTCTCCTGCGAGACAAATGTCGTCTTGCTGGAGAAGAGGTGCTTCTCACGAGTCCTGGCCAGAAAGAAGGAGAGCGGACTGAGCAGAAGGGCTTTCCGCGCTGGTCAGGCCACTCTCCTTCTTCCTGGCCAGGACTCGCGAGAACCTCCTCTTCTCCCATGAGACAATGTTGTCTCGCTGGAGAAGAGGCACTTCTTATGAGTCCTGGCCAGGAAGAAGGAGAGCGGCCTGAGCAGAAGGGCTTCCCGCCCTGGTCAGGCCACTCTCCTTCTTCCTGGCCAGGACTGGCGAGAACCTCCTCTTCCCCCCGAGACAATGTTGTCTCACGGGAGAAGAGGCGCTTCTCATGAGTCATGGCTGGGAAGAAGGAGAGCGGCCTGAGCAGAAGGGCTTTCCGCACTGGTCAAGCCACTCTCCTTCTTCCTGGCCAGAACTCGCAAGAACCTCCTCTTCTCCCGTGAGACAATGTTGCCCTGGCCAGGAAGAAGTGGCCTGACCAGTGCGGAAAGCCAGGAAGAGAGGAAGGATGGGGAGCCTGACCGGGAGGCTGCCATGAGCCAAGGCAGTGGAGGCGGAGGCAGCGGAGGAGGAGGGGAACCTGTGGACAAATGCCCTCCACACCAAAAGGTCTACTGGTAATTTTATTATTATTTTAATTTTATACCCAAGGTACTAGATGACCCCCAAAATTTTATAAGGTTTTACATGCCTAAAAAGTCGGTAAGTTTATATTCTTTAGATAGTTGAACTGAAAATGCTTATAATGAGATACTTGAGTTGTTAGTATTTATCTTTCTCTCCTAAATCTCTCTCTGACATTAAGTGAGGTATATTCCAAGCAGGTTGACTGTCAAACACTTACAGAACCTACATTTTTAAAAGTTTGCTTTCAGGTTTTCAGAATGGGAGCTTGTGCATAATGCAGTGAGAAGAGAACATGGATGTTTTCAACCAATATAGGAAGATAATGGATATGCTTCCCTGAAAAAGCCATATAACCACCCACAAAGCAAGCATGGCTTTTGCCCAGTCGCACATTATGACAGCTAGAAGGCATCAGCACAGTCGACTCATAATTGAAGTTGATGAGTACAGCTCCAACCCAACACAGGCGTTCACGTTCTACAACATTAACCAGGGACGTTTCCAGCCCCCACATGTGCAAATGTAAGTAGAATAGTTCTGTTATTGTTATAGCGCAGCCTTCTGAATGGTTATTGCTATGTCAGTGTGGTATTTGATGGGCCAGTCAAAAATGAGTATCTAGGGAATATTTGGATGAAACAGGTATATTCATTAAGGGATGCAAGGTGTTATTCTGTGCTGATGCGCCTTACTTTTTAATAAAATGTCAACTAATAATACAGAAGTGTTTAGTATGGACAGAATTGTACTAAAAATGATTAGCTACCCTGCATCCTTATGTGAATTGTTTTTTAAAATGAAACCTTTAATGGAATGATCCCCAGAGTTTGGCTAGAGATTCACAAATAAAAGACTGGCAGCAACTAATGTAATACAACGGGCACACATCTGATTGGCTTTAATACTGACAGTATTTGAAAGATACAGGGCACTTAGAGTGTAATTAAATTAATGTGTTTGTTTGATGTTTGCACATAGCAAAAACATCTGTAAAGTTTATTGTTCTGGAGGTGATTTATTTTTAATGCAACATGGAGAATTATCACTGCAAAAGTAGAAGCACTAATAGCTAAATGAAGAATTACAATTTACTGTAAAATATGTGCAAAGGAAACTGAAAATTCAACAATAATATTTTCCCTATTAGGTTAGTGGACAACTTCATTTTGATAAACCGAAACACAGTAGTTTGTTTAAATCAGGGGTTGTCAAACTAAGGCACGGGGGCCGGATACGGTCCTCCAAAATCATTTACCCGGCTCTCGCACAGGATCAAACTAAGTCTGAAACGATTTGAAAGCACACAACAACAACAACAACAACAACAACAACAACAGCCCTATCTCATCAGACAAAAGCAGGCCCACATTTCCCATTGAAATACTAATAAGTTTATATTTGTTAAAATTGTTCTTCATTTTAATTACTATATTGTTTATATGTGATTTTTGCACTACAAATAAGATATGTGCAGTGTGCAAAGGAATTCATTTATGTTTTTTTCAAATTATAATCCGGCCCTTCAACAGTTTGAGGGACTGTAACCTGGCCCTCTGTTTAAAAAGTTTGTGGACCCCTGGTTTAAATTATCTATTTGCATAGAATATCTTTAAGCCTGCTACTTTGTTCTAGTTCAGTGGTTGCCATCCTCTTTTTGACCAGGGACCACTAGACCAGGGACCACTCCAATATTAGTACCAAAAGAGTTATGAATCCATTTTTGGTCAACTTTAGATTTCATTTGGTTATTTGGGGTGCTCATTCAGAAAATTGCATTGGATGGACCACATCTACTCTAGTTTCTGATACAGAATATATGCCATCCAGTAGTCGCCATCTACTCGCCCACAGAAAACCATCTATATAAATAAAAATGTAATGTTCGTTTGTGGGATTAACATAACTCAAAAACTACTGGATGAATTGACACCAAATTTGGACATAATAATAATAATAATAATAATAATAATAATAATAATAATAATAATAATAAAAACTTTATTTATCCCCCACGACCATCTCCCCAAAGGGGACTCGGGGCGGCTAACGAAAGGCCAAACAGTACACGTATCAGGCCAACAAGTGACCGTCACTTATAAAGACACTGAAAAACACAGCCGAAGAAACTTTAAAAGCCAAAATAAAAATAAAAAATATATTGCAATACGTGCACATAACCACATATATATGCAAACACACATATATACACATATACACAAAAATACACACACACAAACCACATATACACAGACCGGGCCACAGCAACGCGTGGCAGGGGATGGCTAGTATATAATAAGCCTCGTCACTATAAGAAGGTTTCGCAAGACCAGGTCTAGTAATGATGTGTAGTAATGATGAGGACCATATTTTAGTTCTTTCAGACCACTGGTGGTCCATGGAACACAGGTTGGGAAACACTGCTCTAGTTAGATCTGAATTTGGTGAGATGTGAAATATGGCTTTATGAGAGAAAAAATTCTTAGGGGAGGCGTGGGTGGGGAAGGAATTGTAGAAGGACATTTTAAAAAGTAACATAGCAGTGGTAAGAACTGAATTTTTTTTGTCGTGTCCGGAGTGTCCTGAGAAACTGCAAGTCGCTTTTGGTGTGAGAGAATTGGCCGTCTGCAAGGACGTTGCCTAGGGGACGCCCGGATGATTTGATGTTTTATCATCCTTGTGGGAGGCTTCTCTCATGTCCCTGCATGAGGAGCTGAAGCTGATAGAGGGAGCTCATCTGCCTCTCCCTGAATTTGAACCTGCGACCTGTCAGTTTTCAGTCCTGCCAGCACAGGCGTTTAACCCACTGTGCCACCAGGGGCTCCATAAGAACTGAAATAATGCCATGTGATAATCTAAGTAGACTTTCACTTTAGAATTAACTGTGATATCAGGACAGGTGAATCTGCTAAGTTTCTGAAGTGGGACAGATACACTGGTGGGAAACACAGGCTGGATTTACTCTACCAAATAATGCCATTTAAACTGCATTACATGGGTCCAAACTGGATCTATATTGCAATTCAACCTGTATTATTTGGCAGTATAGAACCAGCTATGGTTAGAATCCAATATCTAGAGAGTTTTGGTACAATTTCCCCCTTTCAAGAAACTGTAAAAGAAATATTATTTCCACTATATCTGTTTTTCTATTTTTTTAAAAAAAAAATACACACAAAATCTTTGCTTATTAAAATTTAGAGAAGGTAGCTGTGCACTGCTTGCTTTATCGGCAGTGGTATATGACAGCATTTTTGGAATTGCAACCACTGTGAATGGAGGGTGGGTGAGATTTTAATATTTGTGTTTTCATGGATGTATCTGTTTCTTTTTAAAATATTGAAACATGGAATGTTTATTTGGGGGGCTGTATTTTTAAATATGGTTCTGGCCCAACTTACATGTCCGAACGCATCTCTCCTTATGAACCATCTAGGACCTTAAGATCATCTGGGGAGGCCCTGCTCTCGTTACTGCCTTCGTCACAAGTACATTTGGCAGAAACGAGAGACAGGGTCTTCTCGGTGGTGGCTCCTGGGCCGTGGAACACCCTCCTTATAGATATTAGATCAGCCACCTCCCTTTTAACATTCTGGAAAAAAGTCAAGACGTGGCTTTTTGAAGAAGCGCTTGCAAATGCAGAGTAACTGACACAGGAAAATTAAACAACTAGACAGTGAGTCCAGACAACGCATTTAACAAGGAGACACTATGAATTTATATTTTATTGATTTGTTTAGTTTTTATTGTATGTTATGTTTTTAATTGTATTTATGACATTGTAAGCATTGAATTTTGCCCTGTTAACCGCCTTCAGTCACCTACAGGCTGAGAAAGGCGGCATACAAATACAGCAAATAAATAAATAAATATGGAAGTATCTATTAAATAGTAAATGCATTCTTGCCTTCTTCTGAGGCAAAAAGAGCATGGCTTGCCCACGTTTACCCAGTGGGTTTCCATGGCTGTGTGGTTTTCAAAGCCTACTTAACAGAATCCAGTCAAACCACAACATCATGTTGGTTCTCTAAGAAATGTATGTATGCACATTTGTAGATAGGATAATGAAAACTATTTTATTTTGAGCCAGTATTGCTACAGTGAGCTACGTTTTTATTCATTTTTGTATTCTGCAGTATCTAAAATATCTTATATCTAAAGAACTAGTACGTGTGAAGGTTATGTTTATGTTATGCTAACTGATTTTAATAAGAAAAGTCAAATCTCATTGGGAAAGGAGTGATGGCTGTTTATTAGTAAGTACTTCCCAAATACCTGTAAAGTCCTTCTTTATTTAGTTGTGTATCTCCCATTGTGTAGTCTCAGCTTATATTAGTGTTCTGAATTGCTACATTATGCATGGTGACAATATGCATGGTGCATTCGGTTACATTTTGTAATTGTGCCCTAATGTTTTCCTCACAGGGTGGATCCCATTCCACATGATGCTCCCAAGCCTCCGGGATATACCCGTTTTGTCTGTGTATCTGATACTCACTCCAGAACAGATCCAATCCAAATGCCATATGGAGATGTTTTAATACATGCTGGTGATTTCACTGAACTGGGACTCCCTAGTGAAGTTAAAAAATTCAATGAGTGGTTAGGTGAGTACCATGTTACAAATAATTTTGGATATCGACTACATTTAATCCACTATTGACACTACAACTCCGCTTTTGAGGAAAACCTCCTGTTTTTGAGGATCATCAATGTTAATTTTGTCTTGGCATTAAAGCACACTGACCTAAAATCTTGTTAACTATGTGCTCTTCTGTTGTAAGATGATGCAATATAAAGCTGTGCCATTTCACTTTTAAAATATTAAATGGGACGAAATAGTCATTCAACAAATGTTAGTTGGAACTTGGAGCCCGCGGTGGCGCAGTGGGTTAAACCCCTGTGCTGGCAGGACTGAAGACCAACAGGTCGCAGGTTTGAATCCAGGGAGAGTGCAGATGAGCTCCCTCTGTCAGCTCCAGCTCCTCATGTGGGGACATGAGAGAAGCCTCCCACAAGGATGGTAAAAACATCAAAATATCCGGGCGTCCCCTGGGCAACGTCCTTGCAGACAGCCAATTCTCTCACATCAGAAGCGACTTGCAGTTTCTCAAGTCACTCCTGACACGACAAAAAAAAAGTTGGAACTTAATCTATAATTGTTCTCATAAGAGAAATATTGTCTCTACTCCACAGTGAAAAAAAAAAGATCATTTATTTTGACTTGGAGGCTAGTAATTTGTTGTGTGTGAGGCTGTGCTACACTATAGCCATGAAATGTATATAAAGAAAATATGTGTATGTGGGGAAATAATAATAATAACAATAATAATAATAATAATAATAATAATAATAATAAACTTTATTTATACCCCGCCACCATCTCCTCAAAGGGGACTCAGGGCGGCTTACATGAGGCCACGCCCATCAATACAGAAACACAATATAAAAAGCACAACAGAAAATCAGAAAATAAAATAACATAAAATACAAAATGTAAGTATACAACACAATATAAAATCAAAGCATTAAACCACTAAAAATGGACACAATGGGCAGGGCCAGTACAAAAATTTAAATTTTAAAACACTGGGAGGTAGGGCAGTGTAAAATATCAGGAAGGGGATCCGGGGGATAAGGTAAAAGTTCATTGCACAAACCAGAGAATAACGTGCTTCTGAGGACATTTTATGCAGAGTTTGGTCAGGGATTATCATACATTCAGTCATTGAAGGCATATTGGAACAGCCAAGTTTTCAGGCTCCTCCTAAAGATTTCCAGGGTGGGGGCTTGCCTAATATGTCTGGGGAGCGAATTCCAGAGCTGAGGGGCCACCACAGAGAAGGCCCTCTCTCTCGTCCCCAAAAGTCACACTTGCGATGAAGGCGGGAGCGAGAGAAGGTCCTCTCCGGAAGATTGAAGAGGTCGTGTGGGTTCATAGATGGAAATGCGGTCACACAGGTAGGCAGACCCCAAACCGTTTAGGGCTTTGTAGGTCAAAACCTGCACCTTGAATTGGGCTCAGAAAATAAATGGCAGCCAGTGGAGCTCCTTAAACAGGGGTTTGACCGCTCCCTGTAGCTCACACCAGTTAGTAGTCTGGCTGCCGCTCGTTAGACCAGTTGGAATTTCCGAGCCGTCTTCAAGGGCAGCCCCACGTAGAGCGCAATGTCATTTAGGAAAGCTGAGGACCTTTCCATCTGAGAATTCCAAAGGTCCTGCCGTAAACTACATTTTCAGAATTCTGCAGGAGCAAAACAAGTGCCATCCTCTTTAAAATACTAATGTGATATCGTCCATAGTCCTACTTAAAACACATACACACACCATGCTTTGCAATACCGATGGGGTGCATCACTATTTCCATGAAATAGAATGTGGTTGGATTTCCGGAGAAAAGGCTGCAGAAAAACTTAAGTAAAAGATAATCAGGAAAATTGTTAAAACGTGAAATTTCACTCGTTGTGCCTTAAATCGTATTGGTAGTCCCAGCTGGAGTAGAGCCATTGAATCAATTAGCTTTACTTATGTGCTGACTCACTATTTCATAATTGCTTCAATGGATCTACTCTAGATGGGACTAAACAATAGGCTTCGAGCCCATGCCGAATATTTTTGGACTCTCTTGAAACAAGCAACAGTAAGTGTGCAGAGTTAATATTTTGGAGCTTAAAAATATTAATGAGTAAAAGGTGATTGAAGCAATGCTGAGGATTAAGTACATTTTTAAAAATATGATGATGGAAATATATTTGACCGTGATGAACAAGCTATTGTATGGTGGGTGTCTTAGAATTTACAAAAATTGGAGGAACATTGCAATTCAACTGGAATACTGGGGTTGAAACTTTGGAAGGGCGTTTAGATGTCTTTCATAGAGAGCTTTTCTGCTCTACTAAACTACAGAACCCAGGAGCCTATAGAAAAGAACCTTGGAGGCCAATGGGAAAATTGTGCTATAATTGTGTGGTACACAAGGGGTTTTACTTTCTTTTTGTCTTGCAAGTGAGTGTTTGGGGATGCACTTTAGAGCAGTCTGACCACATGTGGGATGGATTGTTCAAATGTTTTCTCTCGCTTGTTTTCCCCATGTATGTTCTTTTCTTGTCTGGAAACACCAGTAGAGTTCCTTGTGGAAGGGAGATTTAGGGGTAAAAAAGCATCAGGGAAGCTTTAACCCTTTGCATGTGGTAGGTTCCAGTCTGGAGCAAGTCCTCCCCAGTACAGTAGAACCTCTACATAAGAATGTCCCAAAATAAATACATTTTAATTTACAAATCCTCAATGGGACTAGAGTGACGTTTTGACATCCAAATGCTGTTTTGATCTACAAACAGTACAAAAGAGACCTCTTTGCCTCCTAAACCAGTTCTAAAAAGAAGTTAAAAAAACCTGGACTAGATTTCTAGCTAGAGCAGCTCTGGCTCTATTTGGAAGGCAGAAACTCCACTTCCATGCAATTGCCTCCCCTGAACATTTTGCAATGTCCAATCTGGAGATGGTGGCGGGGTATAAATAAAGTATAATAATAATAATAATAATTGCTTACTTACTTAATTACTTAGGTGATCCCTCGTAGTCCGAGGATGATGGCCCTCCAAGAGTGGTAACCTGGGGGTGGATCCGTAGGTGGCTTGGAGCCCTATTCTTGATCTGAATCTTCTCCCGCAGTGAGGGCATTGGTTTCCAGGTGGGAGGCGGTCCCGTTCGGGGTTGGCTTGACACACCTTCCTCTTGGCATGTTTCTCTCTATCGCCCTCCATTCGTGCCTCTTCAAATTCTGCAGCACTGCTGGTCACAGCTGACCACCAACTGGCATGCTCAAGGAAGGACCAGGGCTTCCCAGTTCTCAGTGTCTATGCCAGAGTTTTTAGGGTTGGCATTGAGCCCATTTTTAAATCATTTTTCCTGTCCACCAACATTCCATTTTCCGTTCTTGAGTTCGGAGTAGAGCAACTGCTTTGGGAGATGGCGGTCCGGCATCCGGACAACGTGGCCGGTCCAGCGGAGTTGATGGCGGGGGACCATTGCTTCAATGCTGGTGGTCTTTGCTTCTTCCAGCACACTGACGTTTGTCTGCCTGTCTTCCCATTTGCAGGATTTTCCAGAGGCAGTGCTGATGGAATCATTCCAGGAGTTGCATGTGAGGACTGTAGACAGTCCATGTTTTGCAGGCATATAGCACAGTTGGGAGGACAATAGCTTTATAAACAAGCACCTTGGTATCCCTACAGATGTCCCGGTCCTCAAACACTCTCTACTTCATTCGGAAAAATGCTGCACTCGCAGAGCTCAGGCGGTGTTGTATTTCGGTGGAGAGGTGGCTGCCAAAGTAGCGGAAATTGTCAATATTTTCTAATGTTACACCATTAAGCTGGATCACTGGCATTGGAAAGGGATTGGCTGGTGACTGCTGGAATAGCACTTTGGTTTTCTCGATGTTCAATGACAGGCCGAGCTTCTCGTATGCTTCTGCGAAGGTGTTTAGAGTGGCTTGTAGATCTTCTTCTGAATGCACACAGATGACATTGTCATCAGCATACTGGAGTTCTATAACAGATGTTGTTGTAACCTTGGTTTTGGCTTTCAGTCTGCTGAGGTTAAATAGCTTGCCATCTGTCCGATAGATGATTTCCACTCCGGTGGGAAGCTTCCCATCAGCAAGATGAAGTACCATGGCGATGAAGATGGAGAATAAAGTTGGGGCAATAACACATCTCTGTTTGACACCTGATTCCACCTTAAATGGGTCACTTTAGGAGCCATTGCTGTCCAAAACCGTTGCCATCATGTCATCATGGAGGAGCTGCAGGATGTTCACAAATTTGTTAGGGCTCTTGATTTTTTGGAGGATGGGCACTGCAATTCACTGTGTCGAATGCCTTTACAAGGTCAATGAATGTACAGAGGTTGATTTGGTTCCCTGCATTTTTCTTGGAGCTGTCGTGCAGTGAAGATCATGTCCAGGGTTCCTCTGGAGGGGTGGAAGCCGTTCTGGGATTCTGGAAGGGTATCTTCTGAGAGGGGTAGAAGGCGGTTTGCAAGGATTCTTGAAGAGGATTTTCCCAGCAGAGGTTAGAAGGGAGATACCTCGATAGTTTCCGCAGTCTGTACTTTCCCCTTTTTTTTGAAGAGGGTGATGATGGGTTTTTCTCGGTCACTCACACTTTTTCTATGAGCTGGTGGAGTTGGTGTGTCAGCTCAGGTCTTCCCTCTTTAAAGATTTCAGCAGGGATCCCATCCGGTCCACTGGCTTTGTTATTTTTTTGTTGGTTGATGGCATTGCTGACTTCTTCCAATCCCTTGGAAGAAGGGATTAACATAACTCAAAAACCACTGGACGAATTGACACCAAATTTGGACACAATACATGTATCAGGCCAACGAGTGACCATCTGTAATAGATCTACCTTTTAGTCGGCTAGGCCGAAGCCTGCATAACAGTGGCTGGCATTTTGGTAGTCAAGCAGAGCAGGAGGAGGAGTCAAGCTGACTCCTGATTGGGTATAGCCAGTAGGGGAGGAGTCAGTGGAGAGAGGGAAAATAAGCTGCCTGTTTTGACAGATAAAAGGGGAGAGGTGTCTTAGATAGAGAGAGAGAAGGTTGT